ACTACAGATATCAATAATACGAATAAAACATTCATAAGATTTTGCCAAGTTTCTTAATGCGTCACATCATCCCATTTCGGGGATGAGAGTATGTTGAAGTTGGTAATTGCGAACTATTCTAATAAGGATTTTCAATTCATTCGACCTGTTCAACATATTCAGCTTTGGGCCTCTGATGCTTCTTACGCCTATCTTTTACGTCCTGCTTTATTGTTTGAGCAATCTTGTGAGAGAAAACTAAAAACAATCACGCTTTTTCTGCGACAAGATACACATCCAATTTGAAAAGACATTCTTCTGCTCTCTTCAGTGTTCACGCTGATATATTCCAAGAAAAATTTCGTCATATTGAGACGAAACGGATTTAGGATAAGTTGAAGACAAATCTTCTTTGTAGGCTACTTATGATCATAACTTCATGACGAATATAAAATATCTCTGCTCAGATCCGCTCCGTTACTGAGATGTGAGATATTTTTTTGTAAAAACTGGCTTTTGTTGATCGCTCCGAAGGAAAGATTGTAACTTTATTACTTAGGCAGCTGTAACTTTATATTTAAATTCTCGACAACTTTTGGCAGTGAGATTGCTACCATGAATGGAGCATACCATGGTGCTGAAATTTTGAAGTTTTTCCATTTTTAACCATGTCGGACTTATAGAAACATGTCTCTATAATGGAACTACTTATGGTTTCTTTTACGAAGAATGTCTCCCGGAGTGGACCTGAGCAGAGATATTTTATATTTAGTCATGACGATATGATTATAAGTAGCCTGCAAAAACATTTTTTTTTTCAATTCGTCTACAAAAAAACTCCAACTAAATCTGCTTCGTCTCACTATGTTCACGTTGAAATGACGGTCTTTTCAATTGCTAAATAAATTCTAAGTACCCTTCACCCCATTCATTTGAGTGGAGTCAAAACTACTTATACTTTATTTATTTATACTCTCATCCATACTTAAACTTAATTTTTAATTGCTAGAAACTGACATCAGATCAAACATATCAAAATTTGATGGTTTTTTATCTAGAGAAGAGTACCGCGAGATTTTTACATTTTTACTCGACGAGTTACGTTGTACGGTGCAAAGATCTCATCAGGATCCTCCCCGTTTTTTGGGCCCAGTGGCTCCACTGGAGATTTTCACGGTATATTAGAACAGCTGTAGACATCAAACACACTGTGTCCACTTTTCTTACTTTAGTTCTTATTTTTCTTCCGTGTTATATATTTATCTGGTCGTATATATGTATGTAGACCTTTCTTTCTCTTTATAAAAAAGAACAAATTTTCTATTTTAATCTATATATTCATTTATTGTATGTCCAAGAGAAGCAGTGCTCATGCGATATTCTGTCAATTTCTCCGATTAAAATTAGATTAACTAGAGAGGGATCCATTTCCACCTCTTATACTAGTCTGAAGTATACAAGTTGTACTATATACTGATCTATTTTCTAGAAAAAGACCCCTTTTAGTTTTTGAGATATATGGCTCTCAATATCGGTGACTAACGTTTAACAAATTATACTTTCTTCGTTTATATTCAGTGGTTAGCTAAACTCTTTTCGACTACCATGACTTTCCGGCTTTCTCGTCGGGTCATAGTAGCCAGAGATATTGTGTGTTCAAATGGGTAAACAATATAATGAAGTAAAAATAATTTTTCCAAAAGATAGACTCATATTGTTTCGGATCTTTCTTATAAAAGAGATTAGTGAAACAGAATCTCATAAAAACATTATATACATAAACATATCAATTCAGTCGAGAAATTTAGTACTCCAGAAAAAATTTTCTCCATTGTTTTGCAAAAGAATGTTTTACGAAATTATTGGAGGGTACCAAGGGCTGGATGGAACAGAGAACTTTTTCTACAGTACCTCGATTCAAAACTTGTTGCGTACAAGGTAACCGACTATGGAGAGTCCCAATCTGAAATCAGTTTTGATCGAACACGCGTTTAAAATTTCGCGACTGAATTGATATGTGTTTTGAAACGTAATAGAATAAGTGTATATTTTTAGGAATTATCAATACTGTGATATTGATCAGTGTTATAAACTGTCTATACCAGAAACAGAATTGAGGACGAACTCATAATATCATAATCTTATGATAATTATCTCAAAATGATAACAATCATCTTGCTGGTTATGAAACAACTTCATCAGCTCTTGCTTCTTCTACGTACATTTTGATTAATCATCCAAAAATACAACAAAAATTACAAGACAAAATTGATAACAATTTTGACAATAAATTAGCACAAAATCCTGTAACTATATAGCAAATATAAATAACGTTATGTGTAAACTACTTTCTGTTTCTAGGATATGATACAGTCAATACACTGGAGTATATGGAGATATTTATTAAAGAAATGCTGAGAATGTATCCCATTGGAATACAGGCTATAAAGCGTGTTAATCCATTCAAAAATTGCACGGCTAATGACAGACCTTGATAAAGAATTAGCGGGACAACAGTGGATATCTTAACACTAGGAAAGTGTAGAATTCGTTAACAGTATCACCATGATTAAGACATTGATGAAGCTGTCCTGCTCTTCAGGTAGAGATGCTATCATCAGCACTATCAAACATTCTTTCAAAATCATTGGACAAAGAAAATTGAGCTGAAAGAAGAAGAATAAGAAAAGGTATGCATGATACTAAAAGTGTATCTCAGTACTGTCTTACTGCTAATCATTTTGCCTTATAATCATTCTTATAAGGCACTGAAAGTTGATATTTTTCTATTATTTTTCGCTAGTATCTCTAAAGGATATTCTCGATTAATCATTTCTTTGTACAAATTTCTTTTAAGTGGTTAGCAGCGATGTGGATCTCTCAGGAATCCTCTATGTTATACATAGTACCTCGGGTTCATGGACTTTGTTAATAAGAAAAATATTTAAGAAATAATATTAAAAATCATTTAAATATTTTTCCACCTTATTTTAAATATTAATCCGTTCAATATTTTCTTTATTTAAATATTTTTCCTTTATTTTAAAATAATTCAATATTTTTCTATCTTACAAGAAGAAAAATATTTAGATAAGATAGAAAAATATTTAATTGATTTTTAATATTAGTCGTTTAATGTTTTTCTTTTTAACATTTTTCGGTATATTCAGTTTCTCAACGTACAGAAAAACAGAATTAATCTAGTCTTATTTTGAAGTTTATAACGATTAATGGTAAGAGGTAATTATTTCATTATGTAACAGTGTGCTGGCTAATGATTTAAACTATTGTAAATGAAGAATTCTAAAACGAGACAAAAAAAAACATTTTACTAATATGAGTATGATGAATATCAATCAACCTGAAATAGACTACATTACTTCCAGTTATGCATCAGACATACATTTACTCTTGCAGAAAATGCTGATGAGAACCACGCTTTTTTTTAATTCTTAGGTAGAATGCAATTCTTACTACTGTGTCTGAACAGGGACGGCGACAACATTCGTATCAGCCAACATTATACAGAACAACTAGTCAGGGGCTACATTTATTAGAAAAAAATAGCTCTCTTCAGGATATTCAAAAAATTCAATCTCAAATGCAAATTAGAGTTCATCAGATGAACAAGCACAACAAGGTCATCAACTTCCACCTCCAGAACAGAGACAATATCGTAGGGATAGAGTTCACACTCGAATTGACATCATCTGCAAGTGGTAGAAGTTCTACTCAGCAACAACGAAAAATTATATAAGCGATTGATCAAAAACCGTTGTTAATGCATCACTTCAAGTAGTATTTCACTATCACAAATAGAGACCTGCGCGGGTTAAGAACACCCAACCCGAACCCGACCCGACTGACAAAATGCCGACCCGCACCCGACCCAAACCGACAACAACTTAACCCGACCCGACCCGATGAAAACAATCTCACCAGAAAACTGTGTTTGAGAAAGAATATAGACTTGCCTTGTTAGACAAAAGTTTTTCGGTGCATATTGTACATAGAGACCTGCACGGGTTAAGGAAACCTAACCCGAACCCGATCCGACTATCAGAGTGCTGGCCCGACTATCAGAGAGCATTATAGCATAGGTGTGGGTGTTTAAAACAGAATATTGAAAAAGCAGTATAAAAAGCAATGAGGGATGTATTGCCCTTGATTTCAGTGCAGGAAGCACTCTCTTATGTTCATAGAAAGCAATCATTAATCGACTTAATGGATGCAGTCGTTCTGGAACAAGTATTTCAACTAGAAATTCCAGTGCAGATAACTATCAATGAGTAATACAAAACTGAAATTATTATCGATATTTTAAATTGTGCCGCAAAGTTCAACCCGAACCCGACCCGACGCAATGTAGAAGCACACTGTATCTCTCTGATTTAATTTTTCTACTATTTTTCCATTACTGTGTCATTTACTAATTGTAGTTCCAAAATAGAAACTCATAATATTTCGTTTAAACGTTAGCAGTGTACTGTTAGGGACACGTATTGATAATTGCATGTCACTTCGTAGTAAAATAATATGATATCAAGAAAGAGAGAAGAAGCAGATAAAATAATATTATGTTTTCCGAATTCCATTAAAAAATAATAAATTTTTTCTTTACTTTTTTAAAATTCCAGATCTTTTTTAATCTTTTTAATTCTAACGCCATTCTCTCTCAGCTACAAATAATTTACCATTACGCCAATCTTCAATCAGTTTACGATTTACATGCATATGTAGTAAAACTTCTGAAGATGAATTCTGTAAATTGTTTCCATGAATGTTTAAATTATACAGAAATTAATTTCGCGATTAATTCATCACTTACAACATCCAGATATCCTAGCGATTTAGTGCTAAAAACAGTAGAAGATAGTTTAACAGTGGAACCAAACTATTTTTTAATCTCTTTTAGAATAAAAAAGTGCATAAATAAATATTTCTAGATTAAAAAAATGCAATTAGCAGTAATGAACACGTGTATAGGTGAGGATATATTAAATGAACAATTCTTGAGTAGATCACTGTGCAATTTCCGCAAAAGCATCAATTAATTCACCGGAATCCTTTAATTGTTTATAAACCCCAGTCATTTGTTTACTAATTCTTTCCAACACAGCGAGCTCTTTTTCACCTAATGCTACTGTCCAAAATTCTTTTATTATTTGTGCATCTTTCTTTGGTGCTAATCTTTCCAATTGTGTTTTCGGATTTCCTGCTTCACCATCACTCATAAATACGATAATATATTTTAAATTTGATTCCGTTGTTGAACTATCTTCTACTAATTTTAGCACTAAATCAAACGGAGGACCAAAGTCTGTTTCACCACCAGTAAATTGAATTTTTGTTGTATCAACATCTCTCAGTGTTTTATTAACACAAAAGAACTTAGCTGTACCGCTAAACACTATAATTGTAATACGATCATCTGTACCATTGACCTTGCGAGCATTTATCAACGTCTTAACGCCATCCAATAAATGATTCCATCTATCACCTTCCATTGAACCGGAACTATCTAACAGTAGAACATAATGATAAGGTACTGGTGGAGTTCTTGGTGTATTCATTTCAACATATTTCATACTGAATTTTTTACAGTAATGTTTTTCACCAATTTTTGACCATACATACAAGAATTTACTTTTAAGTGCACTTAACTCATCAGCCGTTGTTAAAAGATCAAAGTCCCATGCTGGATAATCTAATTTCATTTCACTCCATCTCTTTCTGGTTCCTTTGACAACAATGTAATCCTCATCCTTAATTTCATTACACTGAAATAGACTAGCTTCATTTAAGACTTCAATTTTGATACCGGCAAATGCACGTAGTTGATGACCTGTACTACAACTGTGTTTGTTATCTTCATCACCTAACAAATAAGAGAGCAAATCATACAATAAGTCGATCTCAAGCGCTAAGATTTTACGCAAATCCAAACAACTAGAAACTAAACTGACGGTTCCAATTGTATTCCACAGTCTTCAATATTCTATAGATCTTTTTAAAGAAGGTTTCTAACAATACCTGAAAGTGCAGCCAGTAATAAAAGTAACAGAAGCACTGCAATAGATATAAATATGTTGTGGAAGTAATACAACAGGAACAATGTAACGAAAATTGACGGCACAATAAAAAAAAAGAGATAAAAAAATTTACTATCGTAACGTGATCGAAATGTTTATTCGCGTTTCCTGCGGCATCATTTCTTTCGGGTTCCCTGAGCAGGATTCCGCAATCTGCTGAAAAGAGTATTCCCATGGATAAACGGTATCTTACATGCGGATTTATTAAATCGAAAGCGAAGAAGAGTTGAAATCATATTTTTTTAATCTTTATCTTTTATGATCTAGTTGATTTGATTAAAGTGCTAAGCTTTGTCCCTAAACTTACAACTTTCTAAGTCAAAATGAACAAATTGTCGCGTATTTTTAGAAAGGAAACGGTCGCACCCCTACAGAAAACAGGGTTCCCGGTCATGCACAAATGCACAGTCGGAGGTGAACTGCAAGGTTAAGTAGGAAACGTTCTGTAAAATTCGGTGTCGTAAGAAGTGCAGTAATTCTCAAAAGAGGGACAGCCATCAAATATCTCAAACAGGTTTCACTTTCAAGGGCGGTATGATGAAGTAGAAATAAAATGAGAACAAACGGTAAAGCATTCTTCCAGTTTAAATTACCTGGATTTGATAAAACCTTGTGCTCCGCATCGCATGGACGTAAACAGCAGGGACCTGTGAAATAGAAAAACAAAAGAATGATGAGTTCTTTTGTAAGGATTAGCAGGGTAGTAATAGCGATTAACTTACAACTTGCCGTACAGCCACGTGCTTTATCCAACAATTTAATGTATGATCCGTCTTTATCATACACTGTAAATGAATGTGATAGAGACTTGTATTGTTTTTCTATCGCTTGTTCAACAGCTAATATACTTTTCAAAAATACTTGAAAACTTTTAATCGATGTAACTGTCGATTTAGTTTTCATTACGCTAAATAAATTTGCTACTTCTGGATTAGGTTTTGTTAAATTTTGAAAAAACTTAACACCTTTAGGTGTTATTGTATAAGTATTATCAAACACCGTGTATGACATTTTCAGTTCTATTGTTTCCAGTGTTAAATATGCATACAGTAATAACATCATACATTGACCTTTATTTTTTAAATTTTCATCAGCAACACCAGCAGATGATGCGAAAAGATCATCAATAAATTGCACTGAACTTCCTTCACCACTTAGTGCAGTTAACATTAATTTGATAATATCAAAGAAATCGATCAACAACCTTTTCAATTGATTTTTTTCACTTTGTATTTCTGATTCAATCACTTTTTTAATATCATTCCATTTTATTTGAAATTCTTCAACAATAATATCAGTGGGATTTTCAATATACTTTAAAATCCATGCTTGATCAGCTGTTTGTAATTTTCCATCACACAACTTTTGTAATAGTTTTCTACTTAAATCTTGTTGTGCTTCAACGTTACTTGCAATGATGGTATATGCTTTAACAGTTAGATTATTTTCAATAGCATTCAGAACCTGATTGACAAAAATTTCTCCACCATCTTTATCAGTAGCAGCATCAGGTACCACATAACTGATAAAAAAATTTAACAAACCCGGTTTTTCTTTTCTTAATGTTTCGAGTTGTCTATCAAAATGACGTTGTTGTTCGAAATAATGTAAGAGTGTCAGTAAAAGAACAACATTGGAATGTAGTGTGGATGATATATTTCTCGACAGACATAGATCGAAGACCGCTAATTCAAGATTAATTTCTCCGATGACTGTATTAATAACGCCAACAATCTTTTGTGTTATATCAATTTCAACGGGACGAGTACCGTTATCATCTTTAATCAATTTCTGTAACTGTGTATAAATTTTATCAAAAACCACGGTTAATTGCAAGATGTTTGATACATCAAATGGAGCTCGTTGTAGTTCGGACATTATTGTATACCTCATCTGTTGTTTAAAATCAATATCCAATGCTTTTGTTTCAACAAAGTTAGATCCGGTCACCTTAGACACCTTAGATCCGGTCACTTTGACAACTTGACGTTGGAACCAATTTTGTTTCTGCTCAGGTGCAGTGGTAATTTGTTCGTTACTCTGTCCGCCTATAGCATACTGCTTATCAGCTAGTATTTGTTTATTTAAATAAACAAAGTTATCAATTGTTGCGAATGTAAAACTGGAATTGTTCGGCTTCTGCGTAACACGTTCTTGAAGATGCTTAACATCAAGACTAAAATTATTTCTCAATTTATTTATCAGTTCATCCAAGTCTTTTGAGTTTGTAAAAGTTTTGATGATAGGTAATTTCGTCAGAAAATTGTCCGACGATGTTAATGAATTTCTTTCAAAAATATTATAGTTTCCATAGACGAATTTGATTGCTTGTTTTAATCGATCTTCTGGATTAAATTTACTTTTAATGAGTGTTTCTTTCTCTTCCCACAATTTTTCAAACTGAACAGTTGCTTCAGATTTTGTTAATGCTTCTCCCTTTTTTATTATTAAATTAATTAAATTTTTTAAATCTGCAGCACCATCACGGACAAGTAATTCCATTTGCTTTTGATCAGATCCCTGAACTGCTGCTGTACACCATGCATTCATCATTTCAGTTACTTGTCGTTCTAAAAATTGTCGGCAACGTTCACGAATACGTTCAGAAGCATTTTCTAACATGAAAATATTTTCTAGGTCTTCTTTAAGTTTATCTTGATGATCCTGAAATTTTGACTGAAATGACCTTTTTATTTCATCTTCGTGTTTATCACTATGATCGTCAATCAATTGTTGCCGATAGTTTGAGGGAAGAGTTTTTGATAAAAGTTCACCTATTTCTTTTCGTATCTTGTCATCTTGTCGCTTCTCATTGATGTCTTTAAAATAGGTCAAATCCGGAAATTTTTGTAACGTATCAAATATTGTCATCGATGTATTTAGCCATTGTCTAAAGCAAATAGATAACGGTCACTTAATCCGCCAACCAATCGTTCTTATCTCCGCTAACCTATTTGTACAAAGTGTTAAGGGTACCACCCCCTCTTTTTTGTAAAAATTTCGGATTTTGAGCTGAGCACAGCCTAATGTAGAGGAAAGTGAGGGCTACAAAATAAGACCTCTCCCATTACCCCACGACCTTTTTTCAAAAAGTTATGGATTTTTGAAGTTTTTCCTTCAAAATCTAAGAAAACTCATCTTTTTAGTCTCATAAACTTTTCTCTCGTTTTCTGTACATGCAAAATTTTTCTTACATATGGTCTGATAGAAGAAAGTGTTTTCTTCATACTGAGACGTTTTACAAAATTTTCCGATGACTTTTCGTGGAGATATGAGCATCGCGACAAATGCTCTGAAAAAAGTGGCCTGTGTACAAAATGCGTTTTTCCCCGAAAACTATTTTTTTGCCACCAGGCTTCGTTGTGTCATATTACAACCCCCTTAAATTCCATCCGATCGAGTTCAAAGTTTTACCAGAGGTACTCAAGACACTATTACAAAGGTAAAGTTTCGGAATTTTATTTTAGGCTTTTCTTTACCGACTTATAGGGTTTCTGAAATTGAAAAGCTTGGTTTTTGAGACGTTTTTCAGTAGTTTTCCTATAACTCGACCAGGAAAGATCTCAAAAAAGTTTTCCAAAAAGTCACATCTGCGGAATGATCTTGAGTACCTCTGGTAAGATTTTGAACTCGACTGGATGAAATTTAAGAGGGGTCGTAATGTGGCACAATGAAAAACCGAGTTCCTGAAAAACTGGTGAACGGCAATAGTTGAAAACTTGAAACGAAAACGTGTTCCATGGAGTTTCTAATCAGTTCTGAAAATACGAGGCCCTAACGACTTTTAGTTTTTATTTCACAGCATTGCTACGTAAAGCCCAAAAAGAGGGGAGGGCACCCTTAACACTGCATATCTGTTTGATGTGTCGAACCAATATAGAAAACTGTCAAATTAACCCATTTTTTAGAAATTTACATCACTCTTTTTATGGGATGTGTGGGTAGAATCTCTTAAGCTGAGTAGAGCAAAGAAGTACAGAAAACTTACCGTGGTGTAAAATTTGTATTTTCTCCTCGATCATAACATTGTTTTGCCGATTGTGTAATTTTTGAGACTAATTTTTGTGCAAGTTCAATAAAATCGGGTTCGGTTCGGAGAAGACACGGACCGGTTGTATCATTTGATAAGCGTTCTCGTTTGAATGCTGATGGCAGTGTGTGGAATGTTTCCGTTCCGATGTCAATTGTTTCTGCTAAATCTTGATCTTTTAAATCAGAAATAATTTTGTTAATAGCTTCTAAATGATTTTTGATGTTAGGATCTGCTTTTTGATTCAGGACGAAATGTACAGTTGGTTTTGGTACTGTACTAACATCCAACTGTTTTAATGAATCCGTACAAAGTGTTAACATGTCCTTTAGTGTTTCATTGATATCGCCTAACATATTCACAATAACGAGATGTGAAACTGCTAAACAGAAGAGAACCAGTCGTCGATCATATTCTTTGTCAGCCTTCTCGATTGACAGTAGACCTTCAGTGTCGATCAGCATAATATAGTTAATTCCAGGAATATTGTTGCATTTAACAAATGAACCGTAAATGCCCCGTGTACAACGTCCTTCTCGTACTTCAATAATGTTCCAAACATATAATTCAACAATGTACTTTTACCAGAATTTTGTGGTCCAATAATACTAATAACTAAAATTCGTTCTTTTTCAAAATGTTTCATAACATTGCTAAGAAACTGATGTTGAAAATAGAAATGATCACCATCAATTAATTCAAATGGAAAACCGGCTTCAATATATTTAATATAACATTGTAATATTGACGTTTGATTCGCCTCAGAAGTATGATCATAACAGACAATTGCATTACGCCAAATTACTTCTAACGAAAGAAATGAATTTGCAACAGTTAGATTGTTGCCTAATTTATCGCCACCCTGGCTTAATAACGCTTGTCGTAATTCAGATGATAACAGATTTAGGCTCATCGACATATGTTTACTTTTCAATATATCAATAAAATTTTTAAATACAATTCCAGTTGCATGATTTGACGACGATGATTCCACACTGGATTCACTGTCCAGGTTAAATAGTTCTTGATTTATTTTAAATTTCGCTTCACTGTTAGAACCGTAGAAATCAATTTTCTTTAACTCTTGTCGTAATTTACATAGTTTAGTGAAGTTCAAATATAATGGAAAATTATTTTGTATAGGATCTGCGGAATCTTTGGCTGATAAACGTTTTTTCATCGGTTGAATAATATCATTCATTTCATTTAAATAAGAAACGTAATCTTTTTTTAACAGTTTTTCAATACAATTTTCAAAGAATTCTCTGTCAACAATTGAATCTTTTTGATTATCAACAGATTTAAGTATTTGATTTCTTAGACGTTGAATTATATGCTGTATTTGTCTGTCAGTTGTATTTGACATGTTAACTAATGGAAATACTGTTGATCGACTACTGCTGATAGCATCAGCTTTGTCCATTACAGTTTGACATTGTTGTTGTGCATCTGCTGAACTGGTCGGTGAACTAATATCGCGAATAAGAATAAAATAAAATTTATTTCTTGGTAATATTCCCAAATATTCAACGAATGTTCCTGAATGTTCTTTTAAATATTGGATACTGATATGAATCAAATATCCATCGAATAATGGACGGATTTTGGATAATAATTGAAGACTCATTTCACCATGACAATCGGCAATATTCAATTGTCGTTCTGGATTAAATGCATAACCAAAATCGATATCAATTGTCTGTTGAAAGTATAGGCTGGGAACAGTCTGTTCAAATGTGGACTGGAATAAAACGTTTAATAACGATGATTTACCTTTACAATCATTTCCAATACCAAAAGATAAAATTGTTGGACGTGAATGATCCCAAACGTGAATTATAGATTGCATAAATTCATAATTAGCTTCAGCAGAAATCCGTCTGAAACACAACATAAAAACTGAGTGTTACCTCCGTCTTTATAAATTGATGAGTTGTACTGGATGAAGAGAAACCCATTAGGTCTCTACCTTTGTGGGGGAAAAGTTATTTTAGAAAGTGCGTTTTCAGTCATTTTCTAACGGTTTAGACCAGCGATGTTTCCCGGCTTCTGAGCGCGATACTTAACAACAAAGCTTGATGCTGCTTTTTCTCATATAAAAGAGCGAATAAAAGAAGTCCTAACAACCGCCAGATTTATTTCAATACGTTTTTACTAATATTTTTGGAGAGTAACTTGAATTGTCTGACTTGCAGACAGAATGCGACTTCAGGGTGTTTTTCATGTTCTTTAATGAAGTATCCGCTGTCAAAGTGACTAAAAAATTCCACTTTCCGCAGTGGAAATGAATTGTTTTGCCGTAAGCACTTTTTCTGTTCAGCATTTTCCCACTGTGCAAGATAGTGTAATCTCAGGAAGTTTATGTAGTAGTAATCAGTTTGATACAGACTTACCTTTCATTTTTATTCTTTAAATTCCAGGATTTAATATCCGGTTCAATAAATGGCGCTGGATTACGTTTACTAACTAATGATATTATAATACGACTTAGAAATATGTCACTGTTCAAGAGCAAAACATGTAAAAATGTACGTAAATTTAATTTGAACGTCGTTGAAACAGATCCATCACTTTTAGCATCCTCAAAAGTAAATGTTAATGACCTCATAAAATCATCTAAATTTTGTTGTCGTTTTAAGAGAAACATAATTGGTATTCGACATTCTTCAATAAATTTTGGTAAATTTACTGGTTGGTGTTTACTGAGACGATGAACAATATCGTTAGAAATATCTTGGAATGTCTTGTCAATGTAGATTAGTTCACCAGCTTCTACTAAATTTTCCAATGATAAAGAATTCGGTTCAATACATTTCTTGACAATATTAATTTCATCCTCAAAATCAGTATTGTTCTTGATAATAGGCATTTTGGGTTTTTCTTCTTCCTGTTGCGGTGGTGGTGGTGGCAACGGTTCATACATGTTTTTTTCCGGTGCAAGAATAGACGTCGTGGTAGCTTTGACTGGTGTTTCCTGCGCAGGAAGCGATGGAGGCTGAACAATAGTCGAGGTGGAACTGTTGGATGCTAGTGGAAGGGTTGAATCGAATAATTCTCCTGGAATTGGAAGTAGTTGTTGTGCGGATGCACGCTCGTCATCAGGCTTACCACTAGGACCTACTGGAACTAAAATTTTACAGAATGCAAAATACCTTCGATCTGAGAGTCTGAACTGAATGACCGATGTTCTGAGGGATAAAGGAAGCTCTTTAAGCAACTAGACAGTTCAACTTTGTATCATAAATTATAGTGTTCCCTAATGTTTGGCTTAATTTGCATTGCTTTGAAGGCAAACTTTAGCAGCAGTAATTCAGGTAGAGTATAGACAAGACTCAGCCAAAGAAAAGTTAGAGGCTTACCTGAAGTCAACGGAGTTGACAACTGATTTTTAATTAGTTCGATATGTTTAACTAACAGATCAAAATGTGTGCCTGTAATTTTCTATTTGACTGATTCAATACCCATTGCCCAACCACTTTCCGTTACATTGTTCGTTGCTAGATCATATAATGTATTCTGTCTGTTAGGAATTTTATATTTACCAAATAATTTTTTTATTTCATCTTCATAATACATTCTCAATGATAAATAGAGTGGTGATTTTTTATTACTAGTTTGTTCTTCTAATTCTTCTTCCGGAATATCCTGTGATGCTTTTCTAACACCTTGAATACCGTTAAATGTAATTGAATTCCATAGTTCAGTGAATTTATCTGTTTTCGTCAAACATTCATCATCAATACTTTCAGATAAGAGTTGTAATACAACAGATAAGACGGATGATGATTTTGTATATGTTGCACCATACTCGGCTGTTCGTGTTAGCACATTATCAAAATGAGTGGAATTTTGTGTTTTTGCATCGTCAATGAATGATTTAATTATTGGTTGATTAACTAACAATGTTTCCCATGTTTCACTGACATGTTGTTTAATTAATTTTAATAATGGACTTTCATCTTCCGGTGGATAATTTTCTTCCTGTGATAGAACTTCAGGAATTAGATCTTCTCGATACTTGTAAAGTGTCTGACGTCCATTTGTTAATAAATCCGTAAGAATTTCTTCTCTTTTATCATTGCATTCTAATTCTAAGTAAGTACCAATTTGTTCGGCTATAGGAGACGATATATTGACAGGTGGTAAGAATGAATACGGTGGTGGTGGCAGAGAGACGGATGCGGTGGTTCTTGTTGACATTGAGGATATGACAGAAATATCATCTCGATCCAAATCTACTTCTTTAGTAGGAGCAGCTCTTGCCATTTTCAGTGTACACTTTAATCAGTAGGACTAAGTAAACAAAGAACAGACCATTGATAATAGTTACGCATTTAGTTGAACAGAGAACTGAGAGCACTGACAGGTACTACTTAGCGCTAGTTGACTCAGGTACAGCTTTACAACCTGGCATTCTTTCATCTCTCCTACTCATCACAATTTTGTGTGAATCTCGTAGTGTATACGAGATGCGACATTTTTGATCTCACGAGGGAAGGTATCCAAGTGTAGCGCGGGTTTTCGAATGGGATATATTCTGCATCGTAGAATGTGATGCGCTGACTACGATAATAAACTTTCTTTTTTCCCAACGGCGCTTTGTTGCTGAGATATTGAATTTTTACTCCAAATTTTCCCCATGAGACCTGGATTTTAAGCAAAAACGGAGTTTTGAATTTCATGTTGTAACGTATCACATATTGTAGCCTAGACCAATTGTAGTCCTATTAAAAAGACCGAGCTGAAAACCTCTTTCTGCAGCGATGGAAGAACTTTTTCAAAACTTGCTCCTGGTTTTATCTTTGGTACCCATATGGAAAAAGTTCTTTCACTGCTGCAGAAAGAGGTTTTCGGCTCGGCTTTTTTTTCATTGGACTACAATTGGTCTAAGCTACAATATGTGATACGTTACAACACGAAATTCAAAACTCCGTTTTTGCTTAAAATCCAGGTCTCATGGGGAAAATTTGGAGTAAAAATTCAATATCTCAGCAACAAAGCGTCGTTGGGAAAACAGAAAGTTATTACCGTAGTCAGCGCATCACATTCTACGATGCAGAATATATCCCATTCGAAAACCCACGTTACACTTGGATACCTTCCCTCATCAACCAGAGTCTTCTCGTCTACCCGCTATAATTAAGTCAAAACTGAATAGCAGAACGGTGAGCGATAAAGCCAGGGTATTTTAATAATGCTTCTGTATCACCTTGGCATGAAAATTAGTTGTTATACGCAGCAAAATAAGTATATAGGGATGCGCGCCTTCCCAGCACTATTTGGGTCCACTAATCGAAAAAAAAAGAAACCGCATATTTCAAGAGAGCACGTCTGAATTTTTTATGAAAAGCACTATCTTATCACTAAGAGATAGATATCTTGCAGATAGCAGGACAGTATGTCAGCCTTCAATACCCTCTAAAATAACTGATCCTATGATCTTTGCTCACTTATTTCTCAAAACTAAAAAGCGACACGGTATGCTAAAAACTTATTTTGTTTAAACTGTAAAAAGACCAAAACTTTCTAATAACTGGCCCTTCTTAATGTTCCTTTTATACATGTGATACTTAGTTGGAAAATTCCAAGGAGAACTCTTACACCACCATCATCATCATGTTGCACAATAAGTTTTATTTTACTTGTGTAATGTATTTGGAAAGAGATAAAATATTCTTGTTGGCTTTTTCAAAATGAAAAAAAATTCCGTTGAAAATCCTGATGTTGATGGTGATCACTAGTTACACATATTTTTCTTTTTGTGTTTCTATGACATGCAACAACAAAGTTTCTCTGTGTTTTTTCCGTTTTATTTGAATTAAAAACAGTGAAAGACAAGAAGAAAGACAAAGACCGTATAACACCTAAGGTTAGAAATTATTTATAGAAAACACTCGGCGAATTTCAAAGAGTACCTATAAGAATTCCTCGAGGATTTTCCCGACTTTTTCGAAGGAAATAATCCGACTTTTTGATTTTCGAAAAGTCCATATGTAAAATCGCTGAGGACTTTCTAGACGGAAATTCGCCGAGGACTTTCTATAAATAATTCTCGCCAACGTAGAAAATCGATGTCGATTTTCCACGTTATTGGAAATTGGATTTTCCATAATCTGGAAAATCCGTGAGGATTTTATATATGAACTTTTTGAAAATCGCCGAGCATTTTCTAAAAATAATTTCCAACTTTACAGTGTATGAAAAATATCGTCTGATGATCGATTAATCAATTACAAAAAACTTTATGTTTGAAAAAATATCTGAGGGTTCGGAGAAACCAAAGTTGAAAAACTTGTTCGCCAAAAAGAATACTCGCACTATACATAGTTGAAAGCAGCTCGTCAAACTACACTGAACCATGTGATTCTTTTGGATTAAAAACACTTTCGATAATATAAAAAATTGTGACATAAAAAAACTAAAGATTTTTGAAAATAAATTCTGAGTTTTAGGAGAAATAGATGCTATCAATTAACGTTAATATCACAGATGTAGTGAGAGTAGAAGACGATCGGGTCTAGATATACATCAGTTATGGATCGGTTGCTTCTAAGTGTTTTTTGGAACATCCGGAAAAATTATTGATTCTTTTGGATTAAAAACACTTTCGATAATATAAAAAATTGTGACATAAAAAAACTAAAGATTTTTGAAAATAAATTCTGAGTTTTAGGTGAAATAGATGCTATCAATTAACGTTAATATCACAGATGTAGTGAGAGTAGAAGACGATTGGGTCTAGATATACATCAGTTATGGATCGGTTGCTTCTAAGTGTTTTTTGGAACATCCGGAAAAATTATTATAACACTATTATTTAGAATCTCAAGTTGCGAAACATCTCATTTTGTAGAGGAATGTTTGCACTGGCGGAGCGACCGTTTGTGTAAGGGGTGGGTACACCCTTCTGCTTTCAGAAATTTCCTTGCAAATTTGTTTCGATTTGAGCCAAAAGTACGCGAAACTTACTCCAATTTTGTGAAAGAATGGAGTGAGTTTACTTCGATTTTGCCAAACTTTTGTTTGAAATTTTTACGGTTTTTGCACAGATATTTGCTGTTTTCTCCAATTTCCAGCCATCTTTTCCACAAAAACATGAATATGAAAATATGAAAATGCTATAAATACCCAAGAACTAGTAGAACGATGGTCCAGAAATAAATCTGGTCGTAGAATTCAGTATTTTGTTTTGTGAAGGATATGAAGGAACAATGAAAAAGTGCTTATCAAACTTACCAGAAAATCTTTTTGAACTTACTCCGGTTTTGAAACTACCATCCCCCTACTTTAAGTTCTTCGCGCCGCCACTGAATGTTTGGTCTGTTTATGTGCATGAAACAAAATATTAAAGGATAAAAGCGAGAAGTTTTTTAAGGCCCACCCCCCTCTCAAAAAAAAGGAATTTTCGACAAAAATATCGATTTTTAGATTTATACATAGTTAGATAGCCCATCATCTCTACTTTCGAATGCACTATAATTTATTGGTTTTTCGAT